CTGTCTTTTTCCACCAAAGCCGAGAAATTACGTTTTTTCAGAAAAACCAAAAAATTTCATCTTCATGCAAAAACCAAAAAAAAATTGTATTTTACCGCCAAAATCGAAAAATATATTTTCCCTGGGAAAACTGAGAAATCTTCTATTCATGCCAAAACAAAAAAAAAATCATTTTCTCGTCAAGCCCAGTATCAGGCTTTCCTACAAAAATAAATAAACTACAATTTTTTACAAAAACCAAAAATTACATTATCTCCCGTGAAATTGTGTTTTCCTGCGAAAACTAAGAAATTGTTATGTTTTTTATCGGTTCAAATTTTTGCTGATGTGTGAGCTTCTTATAACATAAGACTTTTTGCGTTGTTATCATGGAAGCATAGTTGATACTGAGCCTACATTTTTTCAATCATATACGTCTATGTCAAACAAACAGGTAGCTAGAATTTTTTTATTATTTATTTGTTGTTATTTATTATTTGAATTTGGTTTTGGCAAAAAAAAGAAAATAATGATTTAATTTTTTTATTTGTTTTTATTTATTATTTGGGTTTGCATTTGATAAAAAATAAAATAATAATTTTTTATTTGTTGTTATTAATTATTTGGGCTTAGGTTTGGTAAAAAAATAAAACAAAAATTAATAGAAAAAATATTTGGATTTTTAATGGGTTTAAGTTTAAAAATTAAAATAAGTAGATGAGATGTATTAATAAAATATTTTGATTGGTGATTATTTTTGCTGAGATGTCATATTTATAAAGCTTAAAAAAACTGAGGTGTTTTAGTGTTGATTGTTGTGTTGATTGTAGAAACTGAAAATCCATGAAAGGGTAGGATATAACTGAAGTTTGGTAGTTTGAACTAAAATGAAGATTTTTTTATTTTTGTATTTCATAGAGGAAAAGATCCCTACATCTTTGTATTCTTGTTATAATTATGATGGTTATGTTATGTTACATTATCTCTAAGAGTATCTGACTTTCAATGCTGACTATTTTGTTCAGACATCTTCTCTATTTTTTTTTTATTAAAATTTTTTTTGACGTCTATAGTTTTGTTGAAGATAAATATTGTCGCTGATGTTGAATGAAGAGAAAATTTCCTGTATATTTCTGATTTATTATTTTTGTTAACTTATAGGCAGAATAAATATATATCTCATTGAGTTATACATTGGGATAGTTTTGGGTTGACGCTTGTGACCAGTAGTATTGAATATTTGTGGTTTTTTATGCTCAAAGTATGGCGAAATTATATGCTTGTTCGTCTCTGATTTTTTTTTTTAAATTATAAGTTTTAACAGTTTAACAAATATGTAATATTAATTAACTGATACAATAATATTTGGTAATGTTTCATTTAAATTTATAAGGCAATACATTATTTCAGTTCAATAAGTATTCTAATTTTTAATGTATTTTATAAATTAGATAATAATAATAATAATAATACTAATAATAATAATAATAATAATAATAATAATAATAATAATAATACAGTAAAAGAAATACTGTTATTTAATTTTAATTTTTCATTGAAAATTTTAGCTTAACAAAGATTTAACATATATGTTGGAATCATTGCTGACATTTGTCAATTTCAAACAGTATTCACATTATAGACAAAAGAAGTTGTCTATTTTACCAAATTTCCAATCTTGTAAGCTTTAATTATATATTCATAATTGTAGGATCGAAATTACTCTAAAGATTTTTTTTATGATATTAAATATTCTTAAATATATTAATATTCTAATATAATTTTCGACGAAGCTCTATGATTTCTGTAATTCTATTTGGTTTTGTTCTAGATTTAAACACAAATTCTTATTTTGTCACGTAAATGGTTTATTCTTACATAGGCTCATAGCCTTGTGCTAAAAGCCTATGTAGATTTTATTTGAGGTGAGAAGAACGGTTCTTTGAGGTTTGATTTTATTTTTATTAGTTATGATGTAATTGTTTTGTGGGCTGTGTGTGGCTAGTATGATTTAATATTTGAGTTTTTGCCTAGTGGAAATTATTTGTTATTACTTGGGTATGAAGATTTGTTTAAAGCAATGTTTTTTACATGAAACAGTTTTTATAAAAGAATTTGAGTAATAGCTGACGTGGCATTATTTTGGAGCTCGATTTTTTAGTTGACGTGGACACTTTCTGGAGCCTCAAACAGTCTATTTTTAGTACAGACTAGACTAATATCTGTACCTACGTGTGGGTTTTTTTAAATAAAATATATTTTGTTATAAAAATAAAATATGTCTATGTGAATTTCATACTTATAAAACTTTTCAAATATAATATATTTGTTGAATTCATTTTTACCGTACCCAATAGGTGAAAGATACACTGATAATAGGCTCGACCGAAATGATGAACTTGGTGCCTAGACTTGTCTAACGACTCCCTACCTAAATGTTCCTTGGTATATGACGGACTTCCCAATGAGTGTGAGCATATCTACTCTCTCTAAGCGTCTCTCGGATGGGACAAATCAAAGGGAAATGTGTATAAGGAAAGAAGAAGAGGTCAAGGTTGAGAAGAAAGGCCGAAGATCTCCCAAGCATCCCTCGGAGGCGAGAGGCTGAAGATCCTCTAACATTCCCTCAAAGGAGCGCCAACTAAGATAAGCATCCACTTCTTCTCTATCTCTTTACTATATCCCCATTAAGAGAGAGCTCTACCTCCACTATCTCAATGGTTCATACATTTCACATTTTCCTTTGCCAAATGATAGAAGAGTATCACGATCCTTGGATGGGATATCCAAACTATAAAGCAATCACCATCCGTCAGCCCTCTTGATTATCTGTTCACTGCGGGACGTAATCTAAATTGTTCATCAGAGAACTTTCGGGAGGAAAACCTATTTCCGATCTCCCAAAGGCCCGATTCACCCACTGCGAATGTTTGCAGGACCCAAAAAAATTCTCATCCAGGGAGTATATACCGCTTAATCCTTGAGGCCTAATCTAAGAGGCTTAGTTGTACTACTCGGACGAATACACACATCCCCGTAAAAAATCCGTAATTTTCTCACAAACAATATTACTTCAAAAATATAATAATGGAGTTTTTTATATCATATATATATATATAGTTGTATAAAGCTATATTTTGTATATTTTAGTTTATGGTATCAATTAATTTAAAACACTATATATTATTTTTGGAGGGATCTATCAAACATAATGATGATTTTATTTTAATAATTATTACTTTTTATTTTACTTTTAAAATACCATCAAATAGGACTATTATACATATTATGCAAATAATAGTTTATTTTCTTTCTTTTTTATATTCTTTTATCGTCAAATTACAACTATATCTTATTTTTAAATAAATATATATTTTTTATGTAAATGGTTCATTCATCATCAAAGTTTCACGAGCATTATCAATTTTTTTTTCTTTTTTGCTAAAAATTACTTTGAGAAATCATTTTTCGTTTTTTACAATGAAAAGAAGTAGTTTTTTCTGGTTTCTTTATATCTTAAATTATTTTTAGCTCAAATTCAATTAAGTTTTATTATTTAAAATCATAAATAAATAGATGTTTCATATTCTATAAATTGAAGTTTTATATCTAACTAATGAAATTTATTTAATGATAATTATTTATTAGATTGTTTTAATTTTAGTTAGCCACTTGTCACTTCTAAATCTATACTATAAAAGATGGCCAACTCTCTCCATATGAGTGCCACCTCATCATTTTGGTTTATTGTAGAAATGACATGTGTCATTTTTTAAAATTTAATGATACAAATTATATAAAATATAATTAATGCATAAATTTAATGTATTATTAATCATAATACTAAAACAATATGAAAAATATGAAGATTAGATAATATATTTTAATAACAATATATACTTTATATCCAAAAACAATTATTGAATATCTATTTTGTGGTAGTTTTTAAAATCATTAACAAAATTTGTGTTTTATATTTAAGAGTGTTTTCTTATTTTTAATTAATATTATAAGATATTATTATAAAAACAATTATACAAATATAAAAATAATAATTATTTGATATTTTGAACCTTAATAAGTTAGAAATAATTTTTATACAATATTATAATAAACTTTAAAACAATTACTTTATAAACTAATAATTATTTGATAATTTATTTTATTCAAACTTGATCCATTACTAATTTTAAATTTAATAAGATATCAAAATCATAATATATATATATATTAGAATTATAAATCAATTATTTAAGCTAATAAAAATATAAAACCATGACATTACTATTGTATAAATCTACCCCGTGAACAAGTACAACCTGTTAAAAGGTACTTCTCTGATTTGCACTATATCCATTTAATATATTATATATATACAAAGTATAATATATTTCACATTTTCTTATCAATAAACCATTGATTACATATATAGTCAATATCCACAAAATATGTAAATATGTATTGTATGTTTATTCAAATATACAATATCCTTTAAAAAATTTTAAATATACGATAAAATAAATTGTAACTACACTTTTTAATAAATTATATTGTGAAAACAAAATCCGCGCAACGCGCGGGTACTCATCTAGTTAATCTAAAATGCTGATGTGTCAAGATGCTGGAGAGGGTTATTCATATATATGATTAGTCTTGATCAGCGATTTTTGACTCATTAAAGATCGCTAGGCTTGATTTGTCGCCTGTCCGATATAGGTGTGTCTGGTAACATCCATTACGTTAAAAAAAAAACAGATTAGAAGATTAGGTTAACAGATCAAACTAAACAATAAAAAAACACACGATAAAATATAAATTGACTTATACATGTTTCAAAATAACTCAGGATAAGTAGACTAACTTTTAATAGCTAAGCCAGAACATCATAGTGGAATTTGTTGACCACCTCTGTCACTAAAGCCACATGTGCTTTATCCTTTTAAAAGCCACCAACAATTCTAAAAAGGTTACAACAAAACTGTCAACAATCAACATACTTTTACATAACTTTGTTTTTTCATATGTGTGTAAAAATGATATTGTCCTCATGTACATCAATTTGATATATTATATAATAGCAGATGATACAAGAAACTTCAGATCTTAGTTGCTCTATCCATAAGCTTACTTCACACAAAAGGATGAAATATGGTATTGCTTACTTAACTTGCTTCTCAAGCTAGATTTAAACCCTAATGCCTATACAATCTGCATTCTTAAATCAGTGAATCACTTACACACCATCATCTAGACGTCAAAACTGCAGTCTTAAATGGTGATCGAAACGAGCTAGTTTATGTTAGTCAACCTGAAGTTTTTGTAAAGAAGGGAGAAGAAGGTTGAGTATACAGACTTAATAAGGCATTATATGGCCTGCGTCAAGCTTCTAAATCTTGGAATGTGAAGCTCGATCACGTCTTAAAAGGGATAAGTTTTAAGAGGTGTTTAAAGGATATTTCCGTGTATCTCAAGAAAACTGCAAGAGACATCTTGATCGGGCAATATATATTGATGATCTGTTCGTAACTGGTACTTCATGGACAATCATCGAACAGTTTAAGAAAGACATGTCAAATAAGTTCGAGATATCAGATCTTGGGAAGCTGACACACTATCTTGGTATATAAGTAATTCAAAGAGCAGATGGAATCATAATCAAACAAGAAGGTTATGCTTAAAGAATTCTTGTTGATACTAAGATGGATACATGCAACTTGGCTCATGTACCAACGGAGTCGAGTTTAATGCTCTCAAAAGCTGAAAACAAGCCAAAAATCAATGCCACGGAGTATAGAAGAGCAGTAGGGGACCTAAGGTACCTTCTTCACACTAGACCGGACCTAACATTTGATATGGGAATACTAAGTTGATATATGCAAAGTCCGAGAGAGTCACATGGACATGCCATGAAACATATCTTAAGGTACGTGAGAGGAACCACGAATCTAGGTCTGTTTTTCAAGAGAGAGGGGTCAAATAGGATCATCGGATATAGTGATAGTAGTCACAATATTGATATAGATGACGGAAGAAGCACATCAAGTCACATTTTCTATTTCGGCTCATCACCACTTAGACATCTTAGAAGCAACCGACAGTCGCATTATCTTCGTGCCAAGCAGAGTTCATGGCAGCAACAGAAGCAGCAAAGCAAACTATATAGCTAAAGAAATTATTAAAGGAGATTCTAAGTGTAGACGAGAAGGTTATACTACGAATTGATAACAAGTCGGTCATAACCCTTACTAAGAATCTAGTGTTTCATGGGAGGAGCAAGTACATACTTTCAAAGTATTATTTCATTCAAGAGTGTGTGGAAAACGATCAGATTAAAGTGGAGCATGTACCCGAGATAGAACAGAAGGCGGACATTCTTATTAAACCGTTAGCAAGAATCAAATTCAAGGAAATGAAGAGTCTAATTGGAGTTCAAGCAATCGAAGTTTCCAAAATTTAAATTGGAATTAAGGAGGCGAATATTAGATAATTCCAATCTCTTATTGTAGAAGTTATCTCTTAAGAAGTTGCTTAAGAAGATATAGATAAAGATACAGAAAATAAGATAAAGATAAGGTTTTGTGTTATCACATTCCTAATAGATTAACTTAGATTTATAAATAAAGAGTTTATGGAGACATGTTCCATAAGACTCAAAAGAGAGGTTTAATATTGGGAGAATTTCTAAATCTAATAAGAAAAGTTGTTCTTATAATCTTGTGTGTTTAGTACATTATCGATTTGATTGTACATTTTCTATAATGAAAAAGTTTCTAACCGACACTGCTTTCTGTTTGGTTTCAGGTCATTCATGACTACTCCAAAATAGAACCGCTGCCTCTGTTTCGTTCCTTGTCCCGTCTGCATGCTACACTCCGTGTATCCGATTTGAATTGGTTACCAACCTTTCTTGAGAGCTGTCCAAACTTGAAATCTCCTATCGTGGTGATGATCTGCTCCACCCGATGACTTTTTTTGTTTTCAACTCTGTGAAGATTATGTACATATGTTCTCATCTCTTTTTAATCCTCTGTTGTTTCCCTCAGGTATTGGCTGATTATGATAAATCCAAGGAGATGATTCAATTCAGTTGTTCATCTGTTCCTGAATGTCTGTTATTGTGGCTTGAGTTTGTTGACTTCAATACCCAAATCCTGTGATGTGCTTTAGGAATGGAGCTGGTGAATTATTTCCTAGAGAATTCAAAAATCCTCAAGAAACTCACTCTACATGTGAAACATGGCTCGACAGACTCTGACATCGTCAAGGAGGTCCTCAAAATCCCAAGACGCTCAGCCACATGTGAAGTAGTCGTCATCTGATTGGTAAAGCTTAGATAGAAGAACATGTGAAGAAGATCGTCTTTTGTTTAATCATTTCAATGTAGGAAAGCTCTATTTTGTTTGTTTCTTTGTAGTAGAGATGAAACTTTTAGTAGTACTTTTTGCAAGAAATGGTGTTGTTGTTTGTTTATGCAATCAAGTTTGTTCCTTAAAAAACATTTTGAACCAGGCATTGTTATTAAAGATGATCAATTTCAGTTTGTTTTGTTTATTTTGGTGAAATTGGAGACGAACATGCATATTAAAGTTATATAGAAGCGCCATACGTGATGTTACATAAGAAAAACAATGAAAAACGTACAATTGGTAAAAGATCGCATATTTAAGATATAGTATCTCTGCTATTGTCATTTTCCGCTTGTGATCCTTATGACCAAATTGCAAATTCCGATATAGAGAATCTTCCTTTAGTATATTATTATTGACTGAACATATCTCTGCCTCTTCTGAAATCCCAAGAGACATCTCTCTGCCACTGATTGTGTGTTTTATTCCCAAGCATCTAACATTGTATCCTATGTGATAAAATAAAAAAATTCATCATTGAGAATAATGCCTTTTTTATATTTGTTGCTTATACATTATGTTGCTGATTTCGATATTTAATAAAATTTTCACATATAATCGATAATTTCAGAAGAAATAACATGCTACTATAATAACCTGAAAATTCATACACGAGTATAAAACGAGAGAATAATCCCGAAATTATTTTCTCTATTTTCTTTTATAATATTTCTCTCCTAATTGAAAAGAGAGTATATGGGGTGTCTTATTCGCTCAAGGGGACAGTTTCTATCTCCCACTTTAGTTACAGAGGCAGTCTTCTCATTTCCCCAAATTCAAACACTTAAATCCAAAAATAAAACTCAATTTAAAAAACTGCCTAACACACTAAACATTGTCGTCTCCATGCTCATCATTTCTTCATTATTGAGGACAAATATCTACATTAAGCCCATTTTTCCCAGTTTTAACAGAGAACACGAGCTCAACATCGCACTGGAACACTCCATGTCCCTGCCCGATCAAAGCTTTGCCTGTAGGATACACCAAAAAACCGTGTTAAAGAAGGATTCAAGATCTTTGGTCAAGTAAACCAAACAATAAACCAAGATGGTTCTTGACAATGTCAAAGAAATGATAGTAGTCTAATCATGTGGCTGTGAACTGAAGCCAAGAGACGCTTACTTACTTATCATATTACATATGGATAACAGGGCTATATTGGTCAATTTAGAGGTTTTTGTGTTGTGTGTTTTACCTGGGAATACAGGAAGGTTCCAAGGATGGCAATGGCGGCTCCAAGGGCGTTAACGGGCTGGACTGGAGTGCGGAAGATAATGATGGAGGAGACGATGACTGAGATACGCTTCATGGTGTTACCGACACTAAATGTCAACGGAGAGATCTGGTCCAAGGACATGTAAGACACTTGGTTGTAGAGGTGATAGAACACACTCTGCGCAACCAGCCACCTACAATTTTGGTAGGAAAAGATTGAAAATAAGAACTCTTAGAGATAAAAGACAAGATCTTGATAAAAGGGTCTTTTCACAAGGGGGTTCTAGGAACAGGACAAGACTGCATCTAACAGGACAAAACGTCAAAGTGAGTTTAAAAGAGTTTTGGCTTCTCATAAAAGAGTTTTTTAAGACGGAGATTACCCGACAAACTGAGGTCCGATGTCGGAGAGAGCCTTTTGCCAGCCATCGATCCACATCTGAGGTCCTTCAACGGCGATCGCAAAGGGCGTGAGGATCAAGAGTGATAACATGGAGAGACATGCGTAGTAGTTCATCCCGCTCACAGCCTTTCCCTTCATTCCCTTCTTTGAGAAGATGTTACGGAAGACGAAAGCCAAGTTCGAGATCATAGCTCCCATGAAACCTATGAGCAGAAACAGAAAGATGCAAAATCATTTTCTTTCTCAATCCAAATCACACAATGGCTTGTAGAAGCTAGCTAACAAGAACATGTTGGAGAGTCTCGAATGTTTATTACCAATCATGTTGAAGTTAAGCTCTGTAAGGGCAGAGAGAGCACAGCCACCAATGATGGGGATGAGGGAGAGGTAAACCGAAGTAGGGAAGGTTTCGCCCAAAAGGAACCTCGAGACAAGAACGCTAAACGCAGGTTCACCACTCTTGATGATGTGAGTGAAGGAAACCGCCACCTTTGACATACTCACCGTTGCAGCCACATGACCAATTGTGTGTGCCACAGCAACCTTTTAGCCAATCCAACCAAAAATCAACTTTTTTTAGTACAACAAATATATATCAAAAAGTTTAGTACTTTTATAACCTACACAATATGCTGATTTCAAATTCTCATAATCTGACTTTGAATTCTCCGAATTTAGCAACGAAAAAATTCAGAAATTGTAACAAACAACAAAATTCAGCAGCTTATGAACAAACACAGCCAAAAAAACCATCACTTTCTCCTCTCTCTCTCTGTTTTCACAGGAAGCAAACAAAACTATGCATATCGCTCAGGTAACAAAAAAACAACAACCAATATTCATGCAAGATCTGCATCAAATTGACCGTAAACCTCCAATACCCATCATCGGAAACATCGATATCTAACCTAAATTCTCAAACTTTTTTTCTAAGCAAAACTTCACCAAACTTTTTTTTTTTTAATTTCCCACCAACCCCCACTTACCGGCAAAAGAGTTTTCCAGAAATCGAAATCGGTTTTCGGAGTCTCGACGATCCCAACAGCCCAAGAGATCAGCATCATCAACGAGCCGGCGGCGAGAGAAAGCGTCGATGTCAGCCATGGGTAAGGGTAAGCGTTCAAGACCTTCTTGTTGTAGATGTTGAAGACAACGTTCAGAGACCACCAAGTAGCGAAGTAAATCCCGATCTTCAGTTTCTTCGCCGCCTCCGATTTCGTTTCCGCCGCCGCCGCATCATCGATCGGTTGAGGCTCCGATTTCTCGGCTTCGTAGGCCTCGCATCTCACCAGAGACTTTGCTCTCAGAGGAGAGAGATGCAGAGGCTTCGAGACGGCTAAAACGGTGCGTTTCGAGAGCTCCGTCGATGGGAACGAGAGGGAAACAGGGGATCGTGGGAGTGAGTGAGATGGGCTCCGTCGCAAAAGAGGATTGGAGAATCCGATCTTAGCAGAGAGAGTCTGCTTCACCGATAAAACCATCGCCGGAAAGTAAAAGAGAAGAGGAGAAAGGTTTTTCGTCGAATTAAAATATAAAATTATATATAAAAAAAAAACTTCGATCACGGAGAACTTATTAGTAAGTCGCTAGAGAATCGATCAAGCGTTTGACCTGGAAGCTAAAACGAAGAAGAATTCAAACTAACAGAGATCTTAAAACAATTGGATGATCTTCTTCTTCTCAATGTTTTTATAGAGAAAGAGAATTATATAGAGAAACTAAGCATAAGTACAGTATATGCGCTTATAAAGATGGGAGAGAACGCTATTGTCTTTTTATTTTTCTTTATTTTTTTCTACTTTTTTAGGAAATTGTTTATTTGTTAACAAATATAAAAGAAATTATTTATTATTCAAATCACCGAGACAGGGAAATTGTGTTTCAAATACAGTAAAATTTTTATAAATTAATAATGTTGGAACTCTCAAATTTTATTAATTTATAAAGTTATTAATTAATCGATAAATTAATAATTAATAATTATTAATTTATTTATTAATTTATAGAGATATTTTGAGTTTGATTTTTTAATATTTATCAAAAAAACAAAATCAATATTTTCAACAATGTAAAATTCATTCAAAAAATGTCATAATAATGAATTTAGAAGATAAATCAAACAAATTTTCTAAACTTGAAACACAATATTATCATATTTTACTATATTATTATTAATATAAACATAAATATATAATTATTAATTTATATTACTATTGGGACCATATTTGTACATAAAACTTTCAAAAAAAGTATTATTTTATTATCTTATCGAATTTTGTCAATTTTTATACTGGTCCGACTTGGGACCGGTAAAAATTATTAATTTATAGTAATTATTAATTTATCGAGTATTAATTTATAGAGGTTCTACTGTAGGTTCTTTCGAGTTTGAATTTAGGTCTTTTAGATTTTTTTTTTTTTTTTTTTGACAGAGGTCTTTTAGATTTAGGTTTGAAGTTTTTCTTCTTTATTTTTGGGCCGTAGATTTATGTATTCAACTGATATATATAAATCAAACTAAAAAAATAAGTCATATCCAAATCTTAAATAACTTTTAAATTTTCATAAAACTGAGATTACATCAAAACGGGATTGAACACTCCTAACCAAACTTAAGTATTATCAAGATTTTATTTGAATGTAATCAAATATGTCATTGATTACGTTTCCAAACTCATATGAATATTTGTCAATCATTTTGTAAAACTGAAAATATGGAATATCGACTGTCCGTCTGTCACTAATTTCACTATTCTAAATATGGAGAGATTTGTAAATTAATAGTAAAATGCTTACATAATAGTTTTGCCAAAAAAAAACTGCTAATTATACTTTTTGGTGAATGCTTATATTTAACTCCATCGAACAACAACAAAAGAAAAAAGTCAATGCGCTTGTTGAAACTATAAACTCAAAAGTTTGGAAACTGTATAAAAAGAAAAGGTGATTATCTCAAGTTACTTTGCTTACGATCGAAATTAACATTTCATTGTATCCTTATTAATTTCCAACCAACAAAGAGTCATTGCGCCTTTTTTTTTTGAACAATATTTCATTTAATTAAAATAAACATCGACTTTAGGAAGTCGAAAAAAGCAGATTTTGCTAAGGCATCTGCTGCATGGTTTTTGATTTTAATAATAAACTAAAACGAAATTAAAATAAATTGAGGAGTAAGAGAATTTATATCGAAAAGGAATCCGAAAATCTCCTTGATTGACTCATGCGAATTGATAACTCGAAGGGATTAAGCATATGAAGAGATGTTGATTTTGGTGACGCTTTTGTCGAGGCTACCAACAAGGGCTGACTCCAATTGTCATTGCGCCTTTAAATTCATACTTTCACATGAATTGTAGTTCTTAATAAGTTTGTTGGATAAACAAAAAAAATTATTCAAAAAAATAAAGAACGTTAAGCAATTTTAAAATTTTAATTTAGATACTAGTATTTTGTCCACGCTACGCGTGAATTGTATAGTTATATTGTAGTTTTATAAAAGGTTGTCAATTAATTTTGTGTTT